AGAAACTTCTTTATCTGCTTATTACATTTATCATTTCCTCTGTAAACTATTTTAAAACCTCGTCTTTTGTTGTTTGTTGTTTCTCAGAGCTCTCCTCTGACACTTGCCATCTTTTCTAGTTTCCTGACTTCCTTACATTCCTTCCAAATTAGTCTTTATTTCTTTTTGTGTTTTATATATTTTCTTCTCTAATTCTTTCCTGATTTCTGCAAGCTCATTTTCATCCCCAATTAGCTTTATCAATCCTATTCCTATTCTACTTGATATTTTTACATCATATGTGATGTTGCTTCATTGCATTTTTTTATTTTATCTATTTATTCACTTGCTTTGCAATTCCATCAGCTTTCTGGCAACTCTTTTTGGTGCGTGTTTTTCATCTGTGGGCAAATTTTGCTGTCTTTTTATTCTTCATATAGAATCTTTATGGCAGTGCAACACGTAATTCATTTTCCATGTGTCTAACAGAAAAAGTTGAATTTTCCTATATCAGCAGTTTGGGGAAGATACCTAAACTGGAGTGTAGGCACCGGTTACAAGAGGTTAGGGTCCAGGTACAGGGTGGCCTGTCAGGTTTCTCATTCTCTAACTACTGCCAACTATTAGGACTTCTCTTCCTTCTTTATATGGATATGCCTCCTCCTCTTTTCTGCATAACACCTACTATAGCAGCCATTCTGAAAATGACCCTGCTCACCCCTGTTGTTTGCCTGTGGTTTTATCTAGGGTGTAGATTTTGAAGTGCAAATCAGACAACTTTGCCTTCACTTCAGAAAGTATATTTTTACTGGAACTTCTGTAGATATTTTATCACCTGGGCTTTCACCACTCTGCCCTGATGATTTTCTTGAATTCCTCTGTACAGCTTCTACTCATGTAAGCATTTCAGGGAGAAAAACTGGGGTGCTGGACTTGGGAGGAGGTGTTCAATAGGTTTTGAGAATGAATGAATTAAATGAGAGAATAAATTTTAGAAACAAGGTTTTTGAAAGGTATGTTTGGGCTGATTTGCTTTGAAATTTTCCTTGAAGTAAAGACAAGCCATATAACATTTTGTAAGTAATAGAGTAAAGAGATTAATCATGTAACATAAGTAATCAAACTTGTCCAATTCTATATATAATGGACACATATACATAGACACACACATATGCAAAATGTACAAAATAACTTTTAGAATATAAAAAAGTTTGGGCTAATGAATATGGGTTAAAATTAGGGTTTTGGTGCAAGAATAACACATGTTCTTTAGATAATTCTGGAAAGCATATATATGAATAAAGCATAAATTTAAAACGTTAAAATTTTGATCAGTTACATATAAATGCATGCATTATATTTCATTGTTCTAAGATTGGAATAATACTCTAAATACTGTGATCTCCACTTTATTCTTTTTGGATATATATTTTCAGTTGGCTTTGTATATTGGCTACATAATATTCCATTAAATGAATATGATGCAATTTATTTGATTAATTCTCTATTACAACATATTTAGGTGCACCAACACTATAAATTGTATGCTAATTGTCCTATTACATAAATCTTAATGTAATCCAAATAATCCTTTTGGAAAACTTGGAAAGAGTAAGAGTTCTGGGACAGAAATTTATATATACTTTTCATATATTTTCTCAAACTGAATTGTGCAAAGGCTTTATTATTTCTTATTCTTATGATTAGGCCAAGGGCTTATTTCCTTTCCTTTGCCACTTTAGAATATGAAGTATGGTGTCATCGTTGTGTTATTTGATATTTTTAATTATTACTGAGATGGATCTTTTGTGTTTTTTTTTTCTGAATTCCTGTGGCATTTAAGCTTCTCCTTTTATAAATCCCCTGCCCATGCTCTGTGGCTGTACAACTTTTGGGGCATTGCCATTTTTCTGATGAAACCACTTGGTGATAATTCTTCAATGTATGGCAACTAACACCCTTATCCCTATCATTGGTATGTCTTTTGAATCTGTCTTCTTAATACAGAATTTTAAACATTTATGAATCCATTCTTATGTTCCTTTTGTTTCTATAGTTAGAAATTTATCTTTAAAAGCCACATAAATATGTGAATGTATTTTCTTTATCTTTCCATTTTGTAAACGGTCACAGTTATCACTCATTAAATTGTTGTGTGATCCAAGGACTATTTTTACATTTTCTGTCATGTTCTGTTTGATTCCCTGATGTCTCTTATACCAGTGCTATGCTCATTAATTGAATGAATTTTATAATATGCTTTATAATACACAGCATACTCACCTTTATACTCTTTTATTTCAAATTACTCTCACTCTATATAAACTTAAAAACATTTGCCAAATTCCAAAAAAAGTGCCTTGACACTTTTATTTTGACAGCATTAAAACTAAATATGTATTTAGAGAGAATTGATTATAAGAGATATTATATCACTATTTCTCAAATTTTTTATTTTTTTTTAACTATTTTGTAATTTTTTCATCTAATGTGCACATATATGTACATGATTTTTTCCTATGTATTTTGTATATTATGTCTGGCCACTTAACATTCTTATTAAGATATGAAAATAACCCATTTCAGTAGGAAATTATTCAAAAATGTTCAACAATTGTATAGGTTATTTTCATGCCATTTCTCTTTAAGGATCCTCCTGTGAAAAATATATCATGGTGTTAATGTTAACTGCTTTTCCTTTCTGAGCTTTTACCGTTGTTTTAAAAATATTTTTAAAAAACTTGTCTGTTTATTTTATTTTATTTATATAAGAAAACAGTAATTAAATGTAGCTCTTTGGATGATTTAACTTCAACTAGTAGTATGAATGAATTGATTTTATCCTCATTTTTGATAAAGATATAAATATATTTGCCTTATGATATTATACAGCATTTATATGCTTCAGTAGTTGATGATTTGTACACAAGTGGTTTTAATACGCAGGACCCAGATTCCTATATTAATTTTGGTTATTTTTGTATACCCAAATATCTAATGAATTATTTATATTTTAGTTTAGTGGGATGGTTTGGCCATGAACTCAGCAGCAGATTTAAGATGGATAACAGTAAGTACATTCAATTTTACTTCACAAGTCATTTTATTTTATTTCAATTTTCATCTGTCTTTGTATGATACGTAATATATATGCCTCATGGAGAGTGAATTTTGAAAATGCCACTGAGAATTCTTAAAATAAGAAATGACATTTCCAGAGTGTAAGACTAAGTGTAGAGTTTAGCATGATTTTGAATCTATAGCTTTGTAGAGAGATAAGAGGCAGTGAAATCTAACATTTGAGACTCAGATCTCATCAATATGAACGCCCAAAACATCAAACATTGAGGACAGGAAGGAATTTGGGGCTTGTGGCACTGCCCGGGTTATAGCATCTTAGGTTTGGGGTTTTGTTTGTTGTTTTTTCTTCTCACATATTTAATGCAAGTAGTATCTAATTCAAGGTTTGAGTGAGGGTAAGACAAGATCAAAACAGTGCCATTTAATAAATGTTTACTTTTATCTTTCTCTTTTCCAAAATTTTCCTCCTTCTGTGGCTTTTGTTATATATCAAACAGTAGTGGTTAAACGCCAGTGAGTAGAAATGAAAGTATACCACACCCTGGGGACTCCCAAACTGCCCAACTTCTTTCCCGAGTGTAAGTCCGGGGAGAGGAAATTCTGGGGCAAAATACCTCTAAAAACCGAAATCAGTCAAAGGGAGGAATAAAGTTCAAAACCTGTTTATTGCTTACAAACTGCAGACCAGGGCCATCTGTCTCCTCTGCTCCTGAAGAAGCCAGCAAGCAAGCCAGCCAGCCCCTCCCTTTAAACTCTCAGGTTTAGACATGCCATAGGTTGCCCAGGTAATTACCCATTGACATGGAGATGAACTTCTCTCCATCCCTGAGGATATGCAAATACACTAAAGCCAGGTGAGATTCTCTGGAAATGTTACAATTTTACCCACAGGGCACCCCTCCAGAAATCTCATTTTACAATCTACTCGTTCCCCTTCTTCTGCAATGGTCTCTGGGTGAGAAAACTGGAGCACTGTGACCAGACTAATGACATAACAATAGCAATAACAATAAAATCATGACAATCCTCAAGCTAGAGGAATCAGCTAGGTTCAAAGTTCCATGCAGATGAAGTCCATAGCTGGTCCATTCCATAGGCAGGCAGTAGCTGAGGGTTCAGAGCAATCACCATGCAGCCAAGGAGGCACATTCAGGCCGCAAGGACTGTAGGAGAAAATAATCTTAAGAGCGATAAGACACATGTTTTAATGACACCAGCATAGGCAAATCTTGTCCATCAGGTAGGTTATATGCAAGAGAGTGGTCTTGTGATAAAACAGTGGCAGGAATAGGATCTCATCCTGGTCTATTACACCAGACTTTTACCCACCTCCCTGTGGGAGTTACAGATGGGTTCATACATAGGGCTATGGGAGACACATGCACTGGCCATAAAGATAAAACAAAACTTCCCTGCAAGATGAATGTACATGATTTTTTCCTATGTATTTTGTATATTATGTCTGGCCACTTAACATTCTTATTAAGATATGAAAATAACCCATTTCAGTAGGAAATTATTCAAAAATGTTCAACAATTGTATAGGTTATTTTCATGCCATTTCTCTTTAAGGATCCTCCTGTGAAAAATATATCATGGTGTTAATGTTAACTGCTTTTCCTTTCTGAGCTTTTACCGTTGTTTTAAAAATATTTTTAAAAAACTTGTCTGTTTATTTTATTTTATTTATATAAGAAAACAGTAATTAAATGTAGCTCTTTGGATGATTTAACTTCAACTAGTAGTATGAATGAATTGATTTTATCCTCATTTTTGATAAAGATATAAATATATTTGCCTTATGATATTATACAGCATTTATATGCTTCAGTAGTTGATGATTTGTACACAAGTGGTTTTAATACGCAGGACCCAGATTCCTATATTAATTTTGGTTATTTTTGTATACCCAAATATCTAATGAATTATTTATATTTTAGTTTAGTGGGATGGTTTGGCCATGAACTCAGCAGCAGATTTAAGATGGATAACAGTAAGTACATTCAATTTTACTTCACAAGTCATTTTATTTTATTTCAATTTTCATCTGTCTTTGTATGATACGTAATATATATGCCTCATGGAGAGTGAATTTTGAAAATGCCACTGAGAATTCTTAAAATAAGAAATGACATTTCCAGAGTGTAAGACTAAGTGTAGAGTTTAGCATGATTTTGAATCTATAGCTTTGTAGAGAGATAAGAGGCAGTGAAATCTAACATTTGAGACTCAGATCTCATCAATATGAACGCCCAAAACATCAAACATTGAGGACAGGAAGGAATTTGGGGCTTGTGGCACTGCCCGGGTTATAGCATCTTAGGTTTGGGGTTTTGTTTGTTGTTTTTTCTTCTCACATATTTAATGCAAGTAGTATCTAATTCAAGGTTTGAGTGAGGGTAAGACAAGATCAAAACAGTGCCATTTAATAAATGTTTACTTTTATCTTTCTCTTTTCCAAAATTTTCCTCCTTCTGTGGCTTTTGTTATATATCAAACAGTAGTGGTTAAACGCCAGTGAGTAGAAATGAAAGTATACCACACCCTGGGGGCTCCCAAACTGCCCAACTTCTTTCCCGAGTGTAAGTCCGGGGAGAGGAAATTCTGGGGCAAAATACCTCTAAAAACCGAAATCAGTCAAAGGGAGGAATAAAGTTCAAAACCTGTTTATTGCTTACAAACTGCAGCCCAGGGCCATCTGTCTCCTCTGCTCCTGAAGAAGCCAGCAAGCAAGCCAGCCAGCCCCTCCCTTTAAACTCTCAGGTTTAGACATGCCATAGGTTGCCCAGGTAATTACCCATTGACATGGAGATGAACTTCTCTCCATCCCTGAGGATATGCAAATACACTAAAGCCAGGTGAGATTCTCTGGAAATGTTACAATTTTACCCACAGGGCACCCCTCCAGAAATCTCATTTTACAATCTACTCGTTCCCCTTCTTCTGCAATGGTCTCTGGGTGAGAAAACTGGAGCACTGTGACCAGACTAATGACATAACAATAGCAATAACAATAAAATCATGACAATCCTCAAGCTAGAGGAATCAGCTAGGTTCAAAGTTCCATGCAGATGAAGTCCATAGCTGGTCCATTCCATAGGCAGGCAGTAGCTGAGGGTTCAGAGCAATCACCATGCAGCCAAGGAGGCACATTCAGGCCGCAAGGACTGTAGGAGAAAATAACCTTAAGAGCGATAAGACACATGTTTTAATGACACCAGCATAGGCAAATCTTGTCCATCAGGTAGGTTATATGCAAGAGAGTGGTCTTGTGATAAAACAGTGGCAGGAATAGGATCTCATCCTGGTCTATTACACCAGACTTTTACCCACCTCCCTGTGGGAGTTACAGATGGGTTCATACATAGGGCTATGGGAGACACATGCACTGGCCATAAAGATAAAACAAAACTTCCCTGCAAGATGAACTTACCTCCTGGACGTTTTGGGTACATTACCATGACCTTTGGGGGCCATTCAGCTGTTACTCCAGGAATACATAAGAGGCCAGCTTCCAGGCCTTTTCCCCCAAGGTGCCATAAGGGCCAGCCATCTCTGGTCTATGTGTCAAAATGTCCAGGGTCAGGTTCATTCAACAGTGCCTCCAGGATTTAATGCAGTAGGGGCTGGCAGCAGGATGTTGCTCTGCTGGCCATATCCTGGCTTCAATAGCTCTTCTTTAGTTTCAATGTACAGGTGTTTAAGAGTGGCAGCAAAGTGTGTGAGCAAATCCACAGGGCTCAAAGCTCCTTTACATGGCTTCGCATTCAAATGCCACAGCACCGTCCATAGGCGAACCAACCAACCATGTAGAATATTGGTGTCTGACTTCAGGCCAGATTTCAACAAACTGTTGTACCTCTCTATCACGCCTGCCCCAGTAGGATTATATGGTAGATGAAATTTCCACATTATTCCTAATTGCTGCACCCATTCTTGTAATGCATGTCCAGTAAAGTGGGTGCCTTGATCGCTCTCAATCATCTGCGTCCAGCCAGAGGCTGCAGAAAGATGCTCCAGACCCCTCTCGGTTTGCTGATCTGCACGACATGCAGGAAAAGCAACCAATAGTCCAGTAGCCATGACCACACAAGTCATGGAATACCGATATCCTTCTGATACAGGCAGCAGCCCAATATAGTCTATTTGTCACCTAACAAAGGGTATTACTATTGTCCCATGTTGCTGTGGGACTCAGTGTAAGTCCCTCTTAGAGCACACAAGGCACTCTTTCCGGGCGTTGCTGACTTCTTCAAAGGTCAATAGCAAGCCCCACCAATAGGCTACAGCCCACACTGTCTTTTGCTCTGGGTGCAACAAAAGCTGGTGCAGCCATTGGACAACATCAGAGGCAGGCTTTCCTTCTAGCCAGTGCACCTGGGCCAATGTGTCTGCTTCATCATTCCCTGGGGGTGCCAAAGGCAAATGGCCAATCACATGATACATCGTAACAGTCTTAGTCTGACCAGAGGCCCACAGGTCTTGCCACAACTCTTGCCCCCAAAGGGTCCAATGACCAACTATCCAGTTGGCATGGTACCATGTTGATAGCCACAGGGTCAAACCCCAATAGATGGCCCAGCTGTCAGACAACTTTGTGGGAAGCCTCCTGGGTAATCATGAGCCATACTGCCCACAACTCAGCCCATTGACTGCTCTTCCCCTCTCCATCCTCCATCCATATTGTCTGTCTTAGAATGGAAAGCCATAGCCCTCACTTTAGGGACTGCCCACTACTGGAGCCATCTGTATACCAAGCATCTTCAGGTATAGGGGCTTTCCATCCTAATAAGGACTGTCAGCTACCAATGGCTCAAAAGCAAGGTCTTCCTGCTTTCCACTAGTATATGTCACTGGCCCCAATAAGTGTTGCAGTTCTCCACTTAAGGGGCTAGTAGAGAGGGCACTGCACTGCTGTAAATATGTGCCCCATTTGGTCAGTGTAGACGTCTGTGCCATGTCACTCTTAGCCTTTGGGTACAGTCTTATACCCACCCCACAATGGGATAAGAGGTTATTACCTTGGCCAAAGCTGTTCCAGTAATGGGCTCTGTAGTCAGCAAGGCATGGTATCCAGCAGCCAGTTGTTTCTCTATCAAGGTGTACCTGACCTCTGCTTCTTTCCATAGTTGTGACTAGAATCCAATAGGTTGGCATATCCGTTCAAGCCGTTACCAAAGACCCCATCCATAACCATCTTCAGTTACATGAACATCTAGTTCACAGGGCTTTGATGGAGTCCATTACATTCAAGGCTTGTACAGCCTTGACTGCCTGCTTGGCAGCAGTAAAAGCAGCTGCACATGTCTCATCCCAGCCCCACCTGACACCCTTTCATACCAACCAGTATAAGGGCTTCAGAATTTGTGCCAAGTATGGGAAAAACACTCTCCAGTAGCCCAAGAGACCCAAAATCTCTTGGAATACTGCCACAGAGGTAAGGGGTGGGGAAAGCCTGGACCTTGTCTATAACTGCTTCAGGAACAACTTTAGTTTTACCCAACCAGACAACCCCCAAGAATTTCACAGACAAACCAGGTCCCTTAACCTTGGTGTTGTTCACAGCCCATCCTTTTTCCTGTAGATGTTGCAATGGTCTAGGAACTCTCCCTTCTAAATCTGAAAGAGAGTCAGATGTGAGCATAATATCATCAATGTAGTGATAAAACACTGTTCGCAGTTTCCTCCATGTGGCCAAGTCCTGGGCTACAAGTCCATGACAGATGGTGGGCCTGTGAAGGTATCCCTGTGGAAGGACAGTGAATGCCCACTGCCGGCCTTCCCACGTGAAGGCAAACTGTTCCTGACTTTCCTGTGCTATGTCAATAGAGAAGAAAACATTAGCCAGGTCTGCTACATAATGATACATTCCCAGTTCATGGCTGAGGGTGTCCAGAATGTCTGCTATAGAGGTGTCAGCAGCATGCAAAGGGGGTGTGACTTTATTCAATTCCCTGTAGTGTACAGTCATACGCCAGGAGCCGTCTGGCTTTCTCACTGGCCACACTGGAGAATTAAAAGGACTATGAGTGGGCTTTATGATGCCCACTCTCTCAAACTCCTGTAGAGTTTCTCCAATTTCCTTGTGCCTCTCAGGCAATTTATACTGCTTAATATTTGTCACCTGCTGAGGTACAGGCAGAGCTACAGGTGGGTGCTTAATATGCCCCTTAGAACTGCCTTTACCACATGTACCCTCAGTCTGAACTCACCTGCAGTGGTCTGTAACCACAGGCCCTGCAGGATATCTACCCCCAAAATATATTCAGGAATGAGAGAAATGTACACGGTATACTCCTTTGGGGGTAAATGCCCTATCCCCAATGAGATTTGGGTTTTCTTCACTCTAATTGCCTTACCCCCATAACCATGCATCACAGCAGGGGTCCTGGGAAAATGTTCAGGGTTGCCATGAATCAAAGAACACTCAGCTCCTGTGTCCACCAGCACCAGGACACATTGAACATTCACAGGGACCAATGAATTGCTAATTCTACATGTGGCCTCTGGTCCCCACCATGTCTCCCAAGGTAGGGACTTTGACCCCCTCCTCAGTCAAACCATGATGCCCAATCATCCTCCTGTTGGGGCGAGGGCCCAGGTGAATCCTGAGTACCATCTCCCATGAAGTTTTGCAGGGACACAGGCAGGGCATGAGGCCTTGACTCTGGTTTCTGTGCCCTGGACCTTAGTGGGTAGAACTGCTGCTCTGGCTTTAACTGGTGCCACAGTTCTAACAATATTCTACTGGGCTGCCTATCAAGTTTTTCTTTCACTACCGGAGCCTTTATCAATCAACCCACATCTGGTTCCTCAAGACCTTCGTGGTGCCTTTGGCACTTCTCCATTCAGTCGTGGCCCGTACTTCCCTCCATGCACTTATTGTTTCAACCTCCCCCAGATCTACTAAAGTACAAGTAGCTTCACTTATGGGTTGCCCTAGGTTAGGGGGCAAGAGTATTCACTGGGACCCAAGGAGACATGTGGGAGCTGCATGCAGCACCAGGTTTCTCATTCCTACAGTGAACACCTCCTCATCAGGGCCCTGGGGGTCCATACTGTAGACAATGTTTTTCATATCCAATTCCCAAAGTACCTGTTGGAGCTCTGCATACGTTTTCAACTACTGGGAAAATATGGTAAATCACCTTAATTAGGCCAAACTATCCTGACGGCAGCTGGCAGCCATTCCAGAAGTGTATGATTCCCTGAGGCGTGACGGGCATTTTGCAACCACTGCACTGCCAGAGGGAAGGGTGAGTCATCAGGGAAGCCCTTCTACCCATCTCAGTACCTGACACCACAGTGTTTTCCACCCCATATCCCAGAGACATAAAAGACATGTAAGCAGAGATTCCGATGGCCTCTGCCTATACTGGAGGCTCATGTCCACCAGCTCATCCTGGGTATGGGGGCAGAGCATGGTGTGCTCCACAACCTGGGGATGGGGCTGCTCCTCCCCATGAGGAGCCCACAGTTGTTTTGCTTTTATTTTCTTAATTACAGCCAGGCGGGCCTTTAAAACAGGATAGGATGGTACCTCTGGCAGTGGCCTGGGTAGCAGACCTGCCAGGGGTCCCGCCTCCTCCTCTTCTCCCTTGGGCTTCTCCACCAATGGCTCCTCCTCCACCATTTCCAGGGCTGAAGGCACTACTCTTTCCTCCCCATCCCCCAAGGCCTCCTGCAAGGCGGCTTTTCCTGCTGTCTCTCTACTAGTTGCTGCTAAGGAATCTTCTAGGAGTATGACCTGCCTTTTCAGTAACTGTCTCTCTTCTTTAACAGCATCCCGTAGGTTATTGCCCAGCTCCTCCAAGCCATGCTGAAGTGTGTTTCTCTCCCACCTAAGTCCCTTGATAATCCTCTTTCTCCTGTATAACATTTTCCACTATCTCGATGAAAAGAGACCGTACAATACCGGTCACTACATGGCCCCCTAAGGTCTCCAAGCAGTCTTCCAACTCACAGAGGGCTAATTCTGCAGCTTCTCATGTTTCCACCCTTCCCCAGTTCTGGGGAAGTACCATCTCTAGGAGATACTTTTTACCCAAGACCATTTCCACACTAGGATTCCCAACTTGGAAGCCCCACAGTTGGGGGAATAATAACAAGTGAAGCGGCACCCTCTGCTGCTGCATCCACTGGGGCCTCACCACCATCCATAGGAGCAGCCCTCCCAAAGGTCTCACCCATTTTGACAGATTTCGGGTTCAGAGGCACCCTGCCAACTGCCGCCAGATACAAGTCTGGGGAGAGGAAATCCTGGGACAAACTACCTCTAAAAACTGACATCAGTCAAAGGGAGAAATAAAGTTTAAAACCCGTTTATTGCTTACAAACTTCAGTCCAGAGCCATCTGTGTTCTCTGCTCTGGAAGAAGCAAACAAGCACGCAAGCCTCTCCCTTTAAATACCCAGGTTCAGACACGCCCTCAGTTGCCCAGGAAATTACCCATTGACATGGAGATGAACTTCTCTCCACCCCTGAGGATATGCAAATCACTAAAGCCAGGCGAAATACTCTGGAAATGTTAAAATTTTACCCACACTGAGTGACTCTCTTCTTTAATCTCATGGGATACAGAAAGTTTCATAAGTGGTTTGAGACGTCAACTTAAACTTGATCTTTCAGACTGGTTCCAACTCTGAGATATTATTTTAAATATACTCACATTTGAAACAATCAAGATGGGCTTTTCTAGCCAAATCAGGAAACCTGTATCTTATCTTTCGTGATGAAAGAATTAGCTTCGTTATTTATGCCAATTACTTAAATACTTAGTGATAAGTTTTCTTATCTGTAAATAAGGGAACTGAGTTAGATCAGGGGGAGTAAAGTTTTTCTGTGAAGGGTCAGAGAGAAGATAGTTTAAGTTTTACTGTCTGTGGCAAATCCTCAACTTACAATTGAGGTTCTAAAGCAGTCATAGACATACATAAATTAATGAGTGTAGATATATTCCAATAAAACTTTATTCATGAAAACAAATGATGGGCCAGCTTTGGTCCACAGGACATAATTTACCTTGCCCTGGATTATATGAATCTGCAAACACTCAGAATATTCTAACATTGTTGTAGTACATCTTAGTTTTAATTCATTCTCTGAATAGCAATCTTAACCCTATTGGATTTGACTTGCTACAATTCAATCTAATTAGTTCTAATTAGGATATCTACTATTAATTTACCTTGTTAATATATCATACTTAGGCAAAACACTTGCTTAAAAGCCTTTTTTCTCCTGTAAGAGAAGCCACTTTACCTAAAATCCTGGTACTACAGGTTACCTTCCTAGGTAATTTCATTCATATGTTGGTCTTTGGATGACATTACAAGTATGAGTCTTTCAAGTTTGCTGTTTTTGTCACACTGACATGGTTTCGTAAAAGAAAAGATAATCATGGGACAGAACAAGGAATGTTGACTTGGGACTATGAGGGCAAAGGAAGGGATCCAGAAAAGCTTCTAGAAGAGGTCATTTGTTATCTTTTGTCTAGGACTCGTGTTTGGGAGGCTGCTAAGAAGGTAGGGTTAGGGGAGACAGAGGGAGCTAGATTTATTGTGGTGACCATTTCAATAAAAAAATAAATAAAAATAAATAAAAATTAAAACAGCTCTGAATACCTGAAAAAAAAGAAATGATATTAATTTTCCAGAATTGAAGCTAATCTCTGGGGCCAGTGGATTCCGAATTTCGAATCCTCCCATTTTGTTGGTCTGTTCCTTACATGCTAGCTTAGAGGTAAGCAATCTATGCTTTACCCTTCCCACATCTTTACCTTTTTCTCTATCTGATTGTGACATGTTGTAGTACTTTCTCTGCAAATCAACAAGATTAATGTGCACTGTGCACAAACAATGGACAAAAGGCAATGTTCTTCTTTAGGACAGTGACTGTGTGCTGTCACCTTTCTTTATATCTCCATCCCTTTGCATAATGCTTAGCTCGTTGTTAGCATTTAATTAAGTTAAATGGAACTGACCTGGGGTACCATATTTTTAGTTCCACTTAGAATTTGTGTGAACTCGAGTTAGTCATTTAATCTTCTTTTGATCTCTCTATGTACAATAGAAGCATTCTGTATTTAATTCTTGATTAACTTACTCATTCAGAATTTATTTATTAAGAAAGTATTGTGTGCCAGACATTGTTGTGATTACTGAGAACTGTTTCTTCCAGTTCCCTGAGTCAATGAACTGACAAAATGTCACGTGACAAAGCTCTAAGAAGACATATTTTAAGGGGGAAAAGACAAACAAACAATGAATAATCAGAGTAAACCAAAGATTTAGTAAGGCTGTCTCATGAGATAGGGTGCATTCTTTTCTTTTTTTACTGGGGTTGCTATGTTATTATATCCAGGTATAATTACTGGCTCAATGTTTTCTTTTATGTTCATTCATATTTTTAGTTAAAACAAAGTTAGTCTCATTCTAAATAACGTATTCTAGGATTCAATTTGGTTCTCTACATATGCATAGATATACATATATACACACATACACAAACACACAAACATATATATATACATATATATACATACACACACATGTATATATACAGATATATATACTTATCTACTTTTGCTATCCATTTACTTCTATTTTATATCTGTGTCTGTTTAACCTGATTATTGGACATTAATTAATTTCAGGGTAAGATTAAATTTATTTAAGTAAATGTATGTTATTAATAATATGCTATTAAATTAATAATATTAATACATTAAGTATATATTTTATATGTGTACATTTAGTAAAAAGCATTTTAAGTAAATATATTAGTTTTTCTAATAGAGATTTTAAATATACAGCTATTCAAAAAATAATAATTATTTTTTATTTATAGCCTCCTAAAATCATCTAGTTTATGATAATTCAGGAAATCCTGTTGTGGAGCATTCCAGCATGAATGACTATAAAGACTTCCAAAATATATTTTAAACCTAAATTCTCGGATTCTGTGAACATTCTAGCAGTTTCTCATTTGACCACTGGACGGCAGTGTCAAATTTTGTTCTTATGCAATTTCACCTACAGATAGTGGTAATCAACTCATTTCACATCATCCCAATTTAAAAAGCGCCTATTCAGTTTGACCACTAGATGGAGCTTGTGTTGTTTTTACCTTTTGGCAGATTTTATTTTTCTTTAATTGAAAAATAGACCCAGCAACATTTTTTAGCTGGTGATACATTTCTTTATCTTTTTTGGTGGGTGGGAGGGTTATCTGTTTAGCAACTCAGATAATATTTAAAGTGTTTCTATACTATCCATTCAGAGAAACACTTCTATTAAACATTTAAAAGAAAATAAAATTTTGCTTACTTTGCAAATTTATATCAGGGAGAAAATGAGTTACAATATGAGAGGAACTAAGGTATACCTTAGGAAGAACTAATACTTAAGTTGTTGCTTCTGATTTCCCTTACCTTTGAAAATGACTTCTCAAGCTAGATATGGAAATTTTCTTTTAGATATTCTCTCTTTAGTATGTTCTTTGTGGTGGGCTGGTTGTTCTAGTATTCACCCCTCTACTATGGGAAGGAAATCAGATTCTCATTTTTCCTACCATTAGTTTCCTAGGTGAGGCCGAATGATAAAAATCTCAGAAGCTTTCATCACTGTATCACACTGCATTATAGTCACCTACACACGATTTTTATCATCAGCTGGAATCTGAAGATTAATTAATATCTAAATATACTTTATATATGTACATATTTTTTTCCTGTAATATCTAGAGAAGCCTAGCAAAAGGTCCCTAAAAGCCGTAAGAAGTGGAATATACACTTTTCTGAAGCTTCTTATCACTTAACTCTCTATTTCTTTGGAGCCTCTTGTACATACCTTACTGAAGACATGCACTACTAAGCCTATGTGCTAACCAAATTATTGTTAGGTAATCAAAACTTGTGTTTGAAGAAAGTGTTTTTTGAAATTCTTCCTTCCTGTTAGAAATTACAAAATTCTGAAATTATGAAACAGTACATTTCAGTGCTTCCCACTCTACCTGTTAAAATATTCTCCTTTTCGGATGTTTCTCAGTTTCTCATGAGAGTGAGCACCAGTGCACCGATCATGTTGTTACTAAATGCTTTTGTTTAAAGACTTATCTTATTATAGGAGATAGGTGGTTGAAGTTTGAGTAACTGCAAGAAATCATGCATGAATCAAACTAACTTTCTTTTTCTCTACATTCCTTTAAAAAAATATTCTAATAAAATACCAACTGGGGGAGAGATTCTATACTTAAAAATCAATGAGCATCAATATGATCTCAAATTTGTAGTATGATGATTTTTTAAAATATTAGTATTTAAATTAATATAGCCTATAAATATAGGCTTTGTCTATAAATTAGATGTGCATTCAATTAATTCATGGGTACCATGAAAAATAACAACTTATAATCAGTTTCAGACTCTTCTTTAATATTATTGACTCTAAGTCATTGACACGATAGTATTTTTAATACTGAAAGATCACTAGAGTCAGAACAAGGAAGCAAATATGCTAACTAACCCTCACTGGAACACTAAGTGTGACCTTACACAGGTAACAATTATTTGTGAATTCATTTGCCTCATTTTAAAAATGAAGATATTTGAGCTAGATTACTTAAGAAGTTTCTTTGATCTTCCAATTGCTAACTTGAAATTCAGCAATAAATTTGTATTTTGAAGGGTCATACTTTTATGAAGAAATAGGCAGTTTTTAGACCCTTTTAGTCTATAAATTTATAATAAAATAAACAGCTCCAAAATGCAAAGTAAAGTGTTTAATTAAAATACCTGGCAAGTCGGGAGAAATGTACTACATGCTTCTTCAAAATGTTATTAGGGAGCCAATTTTAAGAATTAAAGAAGAATATGACAGTGGAAAACATCATACTATACTTATTTTTCCTATTTAAGTTTATCTAACTTTTCTAGCTTTGCATTCATTTTATTCAGCAAGAAAAATAACCAAGTAATTGAAACTCTGCCAAGAATTGTTATAAACTGAATATTTTCAAACTACACTTTTCCTTTTTTTCTAATTTTAAAACATCGTTTCTCAATACTGAAAGCATAGGAACAGAGAAACAAAAAACAAAAAAGGATATTCATTAGTCCCCTGTAAAGTCTTATTAGCCTCTCTTAATATTTTCATGGGACATCTCAGAAGAGACCTTTACACTCTGTGAAAAATTTAAGAGTGTGTCAGAATACAGCTGCTCATGCTGTTGTTGTCATGATGGAAAATAGTTTATACTTAAAAGTTATTTCATTACTAACAGAGTAATGGCACGTGAAAAGTGAGACAATTTGTTATTTAAAAAAGTTTGGTTCCCAGTTATCAAGAGAAATCTGCAAGAGGAAAACCTACTTTATAAAATCCTACAAACTTCAGTAATATTCCTCAGTCTTATTAACCTATGAATACAAATGAAGTATCATCAGAAGTCATACTTCATATGTTGCCCCCTACCCACATCTTTGGGGACTAGAGCAGAAACAGAAAATTCCTCTGAATTACTTTTTAAAATTTCCCCAAAGTACTATCAATCTCCAAAAAAAAAAAAAACCCCAGAACACTGGAAAGATTCCTCTCTTTTTCCTTTATTCCAAGCCTGACAGCCAACACACTGGTGGATCATGCAATGCCTGATCCCACTCCTGCCCTCTGCAAAAATCACGATCTAAAAACATACATACGAACTAAAAAAATAAAAAAATATCTTGATCTAAAACTTGGCTGTGTTCCCTTGAGTCCTGATTGTGCCAGGTCTACAATAAAATATTTTATTCTACACAAGAAAATGAAGAGATGCCTCCTACCAAACTCCATGTAACCAGGATTACGCATGTCCTAAAGCAGTTAAGTATTGTTTGCTCTAGAAATCTCAGATGCCTTCTTGTAACAAAGACATTAACCTCTACCTGCTGGTCTCTGCCATAGTCTGTGAGGTCTGGCTGGGAAGAGAGAGGCAGATATCATTCCACTGCTTCTCCTCTCTTCCTTAGATACTGTTACCTTCAGTACAATTCCCATCATCTCCTTCAGCCAAATCCATAGCCTCCATGCAATACAGGTTAAGGAAATCTATGCCCAGATGACTTAAGTCCTATTAGAATGCTTGTCCACAGACGCCACACGTATACACAGAAACAACTATTCTCATAGGCTTCATAAAGTCTAGGTTTCACCAAATGACCCTGTCTTTGCTCTGTGGTATAACATGATAGAGAAAAAGGATATTAAGTGGCACACCAGTGCATCACACTCTGTTGGCAGTTCATTTAGTTCTTATACGTAGGATATATTTTTAAACTCTACTTGACCTTAAGAGATAAGCTAGAAAAGCATGTCTGTTCTGACCTCTAATGTTCCAGCCCAAGTTATGGTGTACACTTGTCACTCATCCCAATGTGAGACACCTCACACTGCAAATGACAGTTTTTTCACACCAGTGCTAGAGTTCAGCAGGGAAAAAAATGAAGGAAGAACAGAAGAAAGAAAGAGAGAAAGAAAACCAGTACTGAAGCATTTGAGCCTCATTTTCTTTCTCTTTTCTTTTTAGATAATATAAATGTATTATCTAACAGTATTTGCTTCCCTGTCTGACAAAGCTTAGCTTTATTATTTAACTGCTTGTTTTCTTACTGTCAAAGTGAGGTAGATTTAGGACTTGTTAAAACAATTATAAATAATATTAATAACACTGCCTTCCACATATGCATGGGTGTTTCATTCTTGTACTTTTTTGTGGACCAAACACACTTTATATCAGAATAGAAAAAAATCTTTGTTATGATCATATAAATGGTTTGGTGGGAAAAGTTTGAATTTTATGATACTTAAGTGCACATATTAATATGTACAAATATACATTTATATAATATATAATGTGCATAAATAGTATACTAATTATACTAAGCTAATTTAAAATACCTCAGAAGGAATGTTATGTTAGTTTACTTTTTTCTTCTTATCTTGTGAGTATTGTTTAAATAATTTTTGTACATTTTCTCTGTCATGACATTTTGTATTCGGCCAAACATTTAGAAGAGGACATGGTTTTACAAATAGAGTATCTAAACATCACGTTTATTGGAAAGGTCAAAAAGTGGGCATTTCCTTTTTTGTGAAAGATTTAATTTTTGCTTCTTTGTAAATCAGCAAGACCCTGTTCATCTAATTGTTTCTCATTCTCAGATCTTTAGGCAAGCAACTATGAAAGCATTGAGGAGAAAATCTATTTTGCTGACTGGTTACCTTGAATACATGATCAAGCATTATTATAGTGAAGATAAAGCAGAACCCAGGAAACCAATTGTGAACATAATTACTCCATCGCGTCTAGAGGAGCGTGGCTGCCAGTTAACACTAACGTTTTCTGTTCCCATGAACCGTGTATTCCAACAACTAGAAAAGAGAGGAGTGGTTGTAAGTAAATCTCTTGCTTTCCCTATGGGTTGCATGTGGGGGATGAAATGTGGATTCTTTGGTAATTCACCGCTGCACGTTATTTCACATCTGTCATTAGGATAAATTAAGTGCCAAGTAAGCATTCATCGCTGCGCTCTTTGAAGGGCATAGAAATCTCATTTCCAATAAAAGGGAAGAAAATACAAATTTTGGATATAGAAAATGGTGTTATATCATTTATTCATTTTCATTACATTTTGAGTAGAAAAAAATAGTTTCATTACCATCAATTAGGACATGTTTTCACTAGTTTTTGTTAGTGAAACCCTCACATACTATTTATTAAAATAAGTGGAATTAAAGAAGATATCAATACACTGAAAGGGAAAAAAAGAAGCCACTTTTATTTAGTTGTTTGATTCAACCAAGTTATTTTCAATTCTGTCACTTCAGTCCAAAAAGATATGTAGAAACATATCAGGAGTGTTAACATGTAGGGAACATTTTTTTTTTTTTAATACTTGGGCCTAAGCAATCTTCTCAGTCTCTTGAAGAGAACTAATAAATGTTAACAGAGTAATTTCAAGAATAATGGTGGTAACATATGTATTTCTAGGGATAATGTAATTTAGAAGCTGCTCCACTCGATTAGTCGTCCAAACCTTAAGAGGGGTTGCCTCGGAGGCCAGAGGCACAAATCAGAATATTAGCCTTCCAAATCAAGCTCTATCATTGCCAAGCTGTGTGCTCCTGGGAAGGCCAGTGAACGTGTATTGGCTTGAGTATTCTCATCCATATTTTAAGTGCAAAAACACTTACGTCAAAAGATTGTTATGAGAGTTATGGACCAGCACACATAAACCACACTGTCTAGCCCATAGCAGAGTTACCTACACATACTCCATAGCCATCTTCAGGGCAGCCAAGTTACCTGGGCCTGTTCCACGACATTTCAGCATTCCTGAGGGTACGGCCAACTTCTTACCTGAGAGCTGAGGGATTAGAGAGTCAAATGTAAGGGCAATTGACTAAAACTCTTCAGAGCTCGGTGAGGTTCTCATTCATTTAAATGTGTCCAAGGATTCCAGTCTTTCAGCATCTCCCCACAGATAATTGTGCACATCATCTATTGGGTGCTTAAAGAAGGTGATGGCCGAGTGGACTTCAGGTAAGTCCTTTGGGTATTCATGTACCAGCCCATTGGTATTTTAATTATTATTTAAAGGAGAATTTCAAATAAAATAGAAACACTGATTTTTCTAAAAGTGAAAAGAAATTTGTTGTTTATTAAGTTAGGGAAATCAGCATGACTGCTGATTTATGTAAGTTTATCTTGAAAGTAGATCTTCATTATGTGAATGATGCTAATGTTATTGTATCTTTGTATCTTTTCCCCCACAGTGTGACAAGAGGGATCCAAATGGCATCCGTGTGGCTCCAGTTCCTCTGTACAATTCTTTCCACGATGTTTACAAATTTGTCAATCTGTTTGCTTCCGCACTTAACTCTGCAGAAACAGAAAAATAGCAGTGTTTTCTAGAACAACTTAAGCAAATCTTAATGAAAGCTGCTGTAGTTATTTTGTTCTAATTATTCATGTTTTAATTATGGGAAATATTTTAAAACTGATTACACATGATTGGTAGAATGAATTGTATATTTCACAAACATCTTAAAGAATTATAAGGACCTGTGGCTCTGAGGAACCCAATTATTTGTCCAGTTTCAAGTTTTAGTGGATCAAAGTATTCATTGGTCCAAGTTTTGTCCCACAGCTTTGGTTACCTGTCACATTTAACCATCAGGGAAATGTTATATTGGTTTAGTTTATAACTTACAGTTTGACTGACAACTTCATAATAAATGTGTAATTTTTTGTGTAAATTTTAGAGACATTTGTTTTAATTAACTGAAGAGTTTCTAATGAGCACTGTATTTGAACTTTCTGATGTATGTAGGAATGAATTGCTACAACACAATTATTGCTCCTGATGCAACAAATTTGAATGAAATTAACTTGAATGACCACTTTGGATGGTACAGTTAAATAAAAAGATGCAGAGATCCCACACTAATGCTAGAACTACTGATATTTATTGAGTAATTACCATGTACTAGGCATTGTGCTACACTGTTTTCCTTAGCTCACTTAATTGGGTGGTTGCATAATTGCTAGCAAAACTTCCCACTCCAACTTTTGGCAAAATCTTAAAACTCAACCACAGACAACTTCATGTAAAAGGAATCATTTTTGAATCTCACAGTGGTAAACAAAATAGACATAGTTTCAGCTTTTGTGGAACATGTAGCTTAGTGAGAAAAACAGCAAACAGAAACACCCAAGTAAATATTTAATTACAAACTCTAACTTCTATGAAACACAAACAAATAATACTTTGATGAAAAAAAATCTCAGGGGTATTAATCAGATGGTTGAGTCAGATTAGGTACATGTTTCATGCTAATCACATTAGAATTACATTAAAGTATATACACAATTCATTCAAAGTCTAACCAGCACTATGTTCTCATCACTCAGGTTAAGGAAAAGAGCATTAGAAACTCTCTTTTTCTCAGCTTGCCTTCCCCTCCCTCCATAAATCCAGAGATAATCATTAAATTATATTTTGTGTCAATCATTCTTTTACTTTTCTGAAAGTTTTACACCTAGGGTATGTACCAATAAAACTATATGAGCTATTTTTTCCTGTGTGTGAACGTTGTATAAATGTAATCATGCTGTATACATTCTTCCACCTCTTTTGCTCAACATCACACTTTTTGAGATACATTCATTTGTTGCACATGGCTTTTCATCCATTTCCATGGCTGCCCAGTATTCAATTATGTAATTGGAGTTATTAATTCATTCTACTACTGATGAATATTTGAGTTGCTCCAAATATTTTTAATATTGCAATAATGCTCCTATTAACATTCTTGGTACACATGTTTAAAAGTTTGTCCAGGACATGTAACTGTGAAAATGCAGGGTCACGGGGCACACACATGCTCAGCTTTATTATGTAATATCAAACTCTTTTCCAAAGTGGTTATATCAGTTTTCACTCCAAACAGAGATGAATATTTGAGTTGCTCCAAATATTTTTAATATTGCAATAATGCTCCTATTAACATTCTTGGTACACATGTTTAAAAGTTTGTCCAGGACATGTAACTGTGAAAATGCAGGGTCACGGGGCACACACATGCTCAGCTTTATTATGTAATATCAAACTCTTTTCCAAAGTGGTTATATCAGTTTTCACTCCAAACAGAAGGAAATAAAAGTTCCTTTGCCCCTGATCTTTGCCAGTGGTAGCTATTGATTGTGTTTGTCATGTATGCTTGTTAAAATAGCCAGGGTCATTATTAAAATATGAGGACACTCACACACCATCCTTAATCTGTGGATTAAGCCAAGACTGGAATTTTACCTTTAACCCTTGCTCAGCTCTTTCCCTCTGCATATTCTCCTTTATTCCCTCCTTCATCATCTTTTTTTCCCCTAAACTGGCCCTCCTGCAATAAAACATATTTATACAAATCTTTGTCTCAAGCTCCACTTCTGGGGAACCCAAACCAAGAAAGCATTTCCTAAACCTTGTAGTATTTTACATTCTATTTCTAATATGTGATGAATTTACAGTTCTGCTGTTAGTTTTACCTATAATGCTTATTTCCTGGGGTACATTGTAATTATTAACTTTAAGCTGTTCATTTATCTTGATCCTTTTGCAATTTCTCTTTGTGGACTGGGTTAAAGTATATTTTTCTAGAGATATTCATGTTTGCATCTGCCAGGTGCCCAGGTTCACTTCTGACACAAGAACGTTTTAAATTCTTGTTTTCAGGTGTTTCAGGTCATATGAATAGCAGGAAACCAGTTATATTAGTCCCTGTGAGGGCCTATTTATAGTTACAAATTATCAGATGATGATAATATTTCTTGCTGATCATTAAGAAATTCTCTGATTGTCAGTATTATGCAAAGCTCTCCTATCAGCTTGTTTCCTTGACCAGTCCTAGGCTTGTTCCATGTCCCATTTAGTTATCTACACTGCAGCTCAGTAACACTAGGATATGGCAGAAACTCTTAGCATGAAATTCATGCTTTGATGATAAGCTTACTTTGATCCTTGCTGACTTCCCAGGTTCCTGCTTTTATTTCAGTTCAGGATTCCTGAGAATTTCCTACTTCCATGCCATCTCATTTTAAAAGGCTTTTTTATTGTTGTTTTCTTTTTTTTCTGGTAGCTAATCCCTCACAATACGCTAAACTATCAAGAAATGTTTTATGACCGAAAACAAAAAATATTGTGCACTTCCTGTTTCTTAAGTAGAATATGCAAAAGATGAATCATGCTTTCTCAATAACTTATGTGCATTCATATAAATACCAATTGTTTTTATAGTCATGCCTTTGGGAGCTATTGTAATTCACAGAGTTGTTTGTATTACACTAAATTATACAAAACTGGAGAAAAAGCTAGGAAAGGGGTCAAAAACTAATTTCAAATGTAAGAAATAAACTTTTTCTATAACTATTTTCTGCTCAATGATTTTCTGTTTACTTTTGAGTTTAAAACTACATGGGTTTATATTCAAATAGTGTTAAGATTTTGTTCCATAAACTGAAGGTGCTACAGCATTAATTTTCAATTAAATAGATTTTTGCATAATCTTTATGAAAGAAACTTGAAAACACCCTGGAAGCATCACATTATAAAGTCCATCATGGAAATCACTGGGTTAGGGCACCTGTTACTGAGACAATGTATCTGATGCTTGTATGGGTGATTAGCATCTCATTATGTGTTTGACAAAAAGACATGATGTGTTCCCTGACCTCTAGTAACATTATTTTTCGTCTCAGCATGATGTAATCTCAAAGAAAGGAAACAATGAAAAGGGTCGTATGAACAAATAGATCGAAGTATTTCTAATGTGTTTTTAGTTAATTTCAAATTACTATTCTTACTAATGCTCTAGTTTTCCATTTGTGACTCTTTAAATAGCTCCTGAGTCCTTTTGACATTACCTCAATCGTTTTTTGATAGCTTCATTGCTTTTGGCATGAAAGATGTAGACTTAACATTGTATATTTCCTACCTCAAATGGCATCAATCATTTCTCTAAGAATATCCAACTCCTTTTGGAGGAAAATAGAAACCATAATCTTAACAGTAAGGGTGCATATTGTAATTGGATTGATCATTGTTTCCAGGGTGTTCAGTTAACAGAGTTAGGTAATATATATTTAAAGAGAAATTATATCTTTATATCGTATTTGTCTTTTAAATTCAATTTAGGATGTGATTTTTATTTAACTTACTTGATTTTACTTTTTATCTCATGCTGAAAATCTTGGTTCTAATAATATTGATTAATAGTTTTATCATATCTAATATATGCTATCATTATCACATATATAGTTTTAAAATTAATAATATATATAGTTTTAAAATTAATAATGCCCAAACTCTTATGAACAATGATTAATAGTTTAATATGAAGTGTTTTTTTTGTCCTTAGAATACATCTCAATTGAATTCAACTCTATAGTTGTAAAGAAAACAACTCAAATGGTAAGTCAAATTACTGTGCTTTAAGGGCTCTTGTAATAACACTTCTCTGTATGGCTTCATTCACCAATAACATACATAAATAGGTTCAATACTTTAGAACAGTTTTCAATCTTTGTAAATTTCTCCTAAATTTGAAAATTTATTTCAACAGTATTTAAAATACTTAGGTAATTTCAACTTCAAATCTTCAAAGCAAGATATGTTCAGAAAAGTCTAGATTCTGCCCCTATCCCCTTCACCCTATGCCCTCCGACCATTATATTTTTTATATGTTTTGGTTTATCCTTCTATTACTTTACAAGTAATACTTACAAAAAAACATGTTTTACATGTAATACTTACAATAATAATACCTTAACATTTACTATTTTTACAAATGTATACATTTACATGTTCATGTACATGTAAACTAATAGAAGTAATACCTATATATAAAATATAGATGTGTATGTATATGTGTGTATACATATACACACACTGCACAATTCTCTCCTTTCTTGGATGTAAGAAATACAGTATCATATTATAATACTTGCCTCCACTTTGGAAAACTTTCTTTGCAGACAATTATAGTTAATACTTTAATATTAACTCCTAATAAAAATTATTGATACTTAGAAAATAATTATTTTCAACTCAATAGAATAATTGGTTAAGGCAAAGATCAAACATTAAAGAAAAAGTTGATAAGAAACTACATGGCAAGAGGCATCAGATTATCATTACCGGAACTCGTTAACCAACACTGGCACTGCTAAAAGAGAACAATCCATAACTATGTCCCTGATGTGATACAACATGAAGTAGAAAGCACTAGTCAAGCAGTATATTCAGTAATTAATAAACCTGAATCCAATCAAACTTTTAGGGCTATTTTCCAATCTACAAAACCTATGAGGAATAGAGAAGCAAGTTAAATGACCTCACAAAGAAACAAATATTGGGCAGTCTACCTGGCATCTGGTCAGATTTCTTCAACAATTTCATGGCATGAAATTTCAGGTGAGAGATAAGGGACTATCCTTAGATGAAGAGACCTAATAAACAAATGCAATGTGTGGACTTAATTTTGGATCTTAATTCAAAGACCAACTATGAATTATATTGCTGGGAGAATTGAGGACATCTGAATGAAAAGAGAATTTTTATTCAATTTTTTAGCTTTAACTATACTGTGGATGTAAGATAATATTTATAGATATATAGAGCAAATATGCAGGAATATCAATAGATTAACACCCTAATTTAATCTGCAATTATAATTCCCTTCTGCTATTTCACATAAAACATTTCCAT